TAAGCACAGATGCTTCAGGTTTTGCTACAGGTGCAGTATTACCACAGTTAAATGAAAAAGAAAAAGAATAGTCTATAGCTTATCAGAGTAGACATTTAGGAAAAACCAAAATAAATTATTCAGTTACAGAGCAAGAATGCTTAGCTGTAGTGCATGGAATTAAACTTTCCATTGTTATATGTATGGTAGGAAGTTCACTATCATTACAGATCATGCAACATTAAGATGGTTAATGACATTAAAAGATCCCTCCTCAAGGTTAGCAAGATGGTCATTATTGTTACAGGATTATGATTTTGAAGTAATACATAGACCAGCTAGAAAGCATTCTGATGTTGAGGCTCTAAGCAGAATTAGAGTAGGAAGTGTAGACACTGATGAAAAACAGGTAATTAACAAAAGAGTTTGAATGTGAGGACAATTTTGAAGTCATTTGGGATTTAGATTATGTGATTAACGAACAAAAGAAAGATGAACTGGTAAATATACTATGAATCAGGGTATTACAGGGAGAATATACAGACTAGATGTTAGATTCAGATATCTTATGTAAAAGAAATGATAACGACAGGTCATCGCAGATAGTTGTACCACATAGTTTAAAAGTTAAAGTCATGGTAACATATCACGACATGCCCTTCACACCGCCTTTGGCATTTGCGAAAACATACAGTTGAATAAGTAAAAGATTCTTTCGGTTAAATATTAGAAAATACATGAAAGATTATTGTAATTCATGCATAGAATGTCAGAAACGAAAAACAAGCCTGCACTTTAGGAACGCTCCCTTACAAAGAATGCTGAGTTTAACCATGCCTTTTCAGTTAATAGCTATGGATATCTTTCCTATGCAGGAAACAAATATGTGTTAGTAGTCGCAGTAGTTAGAGATCTTAACTTTCATCACTACTGCCTTCCATTATCTCTGAGAGTTTTAATCATTATTTGTTTTACAGTTTCCTTCCTAGTGTTCGAGCTAATCCAAATCAGTTTAAACCATGGGCGAAAAGTAGCTGCGATAACGTGTCAAAGGGACGCTTTAAAGCACTTCTCAATTCCTGAAATCAAAGCATTAAAAAAAAAGTGGCCTGCAAGTTTAGAGTGGTTTACCCCAAATATCTTTCAATTTCGAAATGGTGTATTTAAGTGTTTTACACTCATAAAAAAGAAACCTATCATTCTATAGGTATTTGAAGAACTTGTAGCATTTCGCCACAATTTAATTCTTCGTAAGTGTGGTAAGTGTTGGTAGAAGCAGTCCCATAAAGGCTTTAGTTTCACTTAGATGTAGATCTAGTGCACGTACTACAGGTCGCACGACGACTATGTATTTTTTTGATGAAGTTTATATCCAAAGGCTGCAATGAGTGATGCCCAGCTCATCAGACCCATTATTGACTGAATCCTGTCTCTTCATTATTATGCTATCCATATGAATGAAAGCATCATACATCGAATTGTACCACGTAACAACGTGGAATAACAAAACATTCGCCCAGTTCTTGTTGTATAGGGTCAGCTGCTTTACGAGAAAAGGTCCGGACAGACAGACAGATGGAAGCATATTATCAAGGTAGCTATCCCTAGGTAGGGATGAGTCCGGTTAAAAATAGCAGCCTGTGCATTTTGTATGGTAGTGCGTACACCAGGACGTCGGCAACACCCAGCCAAAAGGATACAGATAAAAAGCCCTTCACAAGTACAAAAACTGCATCTAGAGTTCGCCTAACCTTCCTTGAAAACAGGGCGCAAAAATATCTATTTTCTTTTTCTTCTTCTCCATCATAAGCCACAATGTGTTTACGACCAATCTATACACCAAAACACTTCACTACTCACTAGGATGTGCCTTATCATACCTAGAGCTCCAATGATCCACAATGGGTTAGTTACAGCCCGATACGCATATCAATCAATAGATGGCGGAACCTGTAATGCTAATCTTAACATTGGAAGGCAAGATTTCGACTCGTAAAAAGTGCAGAAACTAGTAACAAAAATGTTTTTCCCAAAATGGTTGGAATGTAGGAGGTGGAAAAAGATCAGAAACTAGAGAGCATTTGGGATAGGAAGAAAATTTGCATTACCCATTCCCAAGCCAAATGATCTCTAGTTTCTTATATTTTCCATCCCTACATCCCAACAATTTTAGAATAACTTTTTTGTACTGATTTGTGTAGATTAAGATTAATATATTATATATATGTATATATGTATGTATTA